GCTTCAGACCATTCGTCCTCCCAGGCAAACAGAATGGACGCAATCTTTCCTTTTAAGGAATGTGAGCAAAAATGGCTGGACACTGTAAAAATAGGGCTTCTGTGCTTTTAAATGAAATGATGTCAGCGTTCCTTCGGCGTCCTCCTTGCCAAGTGAGGACTTGGCTGGGACCCTAGTAAGTGTTGAATAAATGAATGGCTGTTGTCATGGCTCCTGAAGGGAAGCAGAAAACAGTCTTCAGAGCTGTGTTTACTTTGCAATGAGTGTGGTTCATTCTTAAGTTTCACACAACTCCATATGGAATCAGCAGCTTTCTGCTTTCAGGTGCAAAGTAATCGTGGGCTACAGTAAGAAGATCCTGGAAGTGAATCAAATGCAGAGACTTCTAAACAATTAAGATACCTTTTGAGCTTTATACATTCCTGATGTTAACATGTAACAGTGCAGTTCTACGGTCTCTGAAATGGTGTCCCAGGACTACGGGGAAAAATTGGACACCCTCCCCCGAGGTCATAAACATGTTTCTAATCTTGGAGGAGGAGATCAATGTTATATTCCCCATCCAACTAAACGTTAGATTTTTATTTGCAATCTCACATGCGGTCTGTGGTTTGTGTGAACAGGACAGACTTTTCTGGGCTGGGATGATTGCCTGTCTCTCCAGCACTAATCAATTGTTCCTTCCAGCCTTTGAATTCAAAGAGAGCCCCGCCTTCTCTGCTGAGAGTTCCTTTCTCTCTCCTCTCTTTTTTTCCGGTTTAGAAGTAGTTGTTTGTTTGCTCTTGATCTGTTCAGTTGGTTGCGAAATATGAGCACAGTAACAAAAGTAATATATACAAGCCTGTAATTTCAAGCAACTGTAATTAAAGATTTTTTTTCCTATAAATGTCCCAGGGTGAGTTATTGAGATTTTAAGTGCCAGTTAATGAGAAAGGGGTGAACTTAGAGGAACTTATAGCTATTTTGCTCTGTGGATCTCTGTACTTTTACTGCATAGCTAAATGAATTTTACCAGAAATTCAAAATTTGGAAAGTCTACTTATGGAAACTTTCACCGATACTGGAACTTTAGCCACAGGAAAAATTAAAATGGGGAGGAGATTGAGAACCAAGCTTGGGCACCCTTGGGTCTTCAGCAATCTCCAGAGGTCTGAAGGCCACATGTGGCTACCCCTGGACCTTGGAGAGCTGCATCCATCCCTTCCCTATGTTTTTGTTTTAATCTGAAAAATTCATACACCATCTAGTGGCTATTTTTTTCTTTTCAAAACCATTACATTTGGAGGTATGGGGTGCTTAGCCCTTCCTCTGAGGATGGTTACAGTAAGAGATAACTATTGGCCAAAAGCTGAGGGGCTTTTTCTGCAACAGTACTTCCAGGACAATGCTCGGCATCCCATTCAGTCCCAACCATATGCAGAACAATCCATTCCATGAACAGTTGCTGTTCTGCTGCTGTTTGTACAAAGGGAATTCAATAGAGTCTTGCACCACAAAACTCCAAGTGAGGCAGTCTCTGCCTTGTGCAACTCCAAGCTGGAGATCAAGAGAAGCAAATGTGGAGCATAGCTATTATACTCTAGGGCCTGTTCACACTACCTTATAGATATGCTATATGGATTGCTGATGGCACAGTTTGGATTGAGTGGAAAAAAACACTTCCCTCTGTGTTTCTGCCAAGAGCAATAATCCTTCCCCTTTAAGAGTTTTCACACACTTTTCTGGCCTAATGGCAGGGCAGGCATTCTTTTTTGGCATGCTCATTGTTTAGGCGGGAGATGGCAGCCTCCAGCAGCCTCAGCTTCAAACTTCCATCATGGCTGCAGGAGCGAGAGGAAGTAGGGAAGGGAAGCAGGGGAGGGGAAGGGAAAATAGAATGGTATTGACAGAGGGAAAAAGAGATGATTTAAAAAAAAAACTTCTGATGACAAAAGGCAGAGGTGCTCAATTCCTATTTTAGTTCAGTCTTTTCCCATAGCACAGACTATGAACAAATGTGAAGTGCAAGTTGAGGGGACAGGATTGCAGCTGGAGATTGATAAACAAATAGTCAAGGAGTACCTTACCACCTTGAACAAGTTCAAATCTCCAAGGCTGGATGAACTTTATCTGAGAATGCTGAAGGAATTGGCCTAGGAACTCTCAGAACCGCTGTCCATTATTTGCTTGAAATTATGGGAAATGGGCGAGGTGCCAGATGATTGGAGGAGGGCTAATGTTCCTATCTTCAAAAAGGGCAAAAAAGAGGAACCTGGGAACAACAGGCCTGTCAGGCTGACGTCAATCCCAGGGAAAATTCTGGAAATTATGAAATGGTCACTATGCAAGCACCTAGAAAACAATGCAATACAGTGGTACCTTGCTAGACGACCCCGCTGTACGACGAATCCACAGGACGGTGACATTTTGCAATCGCTATAGCGATTCGCAAAACAGTCATTCCTATGGGGGAATTCCGCTGAACATCAATTAGGGCCGTGCTTCGCGGACCGTTTATTTGCAAGACGTCGATCTTTACAGCTGATCGTCGGGTTCCTAAAATGGCTGCCCTTTGTTTTCTGGACCCATGCTTCGCAGGGCAGCCATTTTAGCTACATAATAATACTCAGAGGGTGAAGATTAAGGTATTTCAAAGTACCAAATTATACTAATATCCTTATTATTGACTGCCTTGAGAAGTTTTGAAGAAAGGAAGGCTAATAACTGTTTAAAGACAGGGATAAACAAACTCATTAATTGACTTGATGGTTGCTTAGAGCTGTCTTACCTTCCTGAGCAGTCTAATGTGGGAGTGTCTATCTGATGTAACCTTTGAACTGACTCGGAACTCATGTTTAATTTTAAAGCTGCCAAATTTACATTACACAATACTTGAGAAAGTTGCCTTACAGCTGCCTACTTGTCTCTGCAAAGGACCATAGTTATAAATGGAAAAAAGAGGCAAAAACAGGAAGACGTAGTCCAAAACCATTTGTATGATGTTGTGTTCTCTTGAGCTAGGTGTTTTATCTTTCCCATCATTGATCCTGCAGGGAAGTGTTAGGCGGTGACTACCATATTTACTGAATGATGAGTACTATCATCCTTGGCCAGCATCAAGTTGAAAAAGAGTATGAACTAAAATGTGTATGACATTTATATATCTTCTTGGTAATCATATACTGTATACAGTGATACCTCAAATTACGAACATAATCCATTTTGGAATGACATTCGTATGTTGAAAAGTTCGGAAGTTGAAGTACCATTTCCCATTGAAATGCATGGGAACGGAATTAATCCATTCCAGCATTTCAAAAGGCAAAAAGAGAAGGGGAAGGGACTGGAAATTCCAATTTTCCGCCCTTTCTCCCTGCCTTTTTGGCTTAGGAACCCCACATCCACAGATGATCGGTTCCAAGACCGCCTGCCCCCCAGTGTATGCTGGAAAATGCAGATTATAGTAAACACTATTTGAATAGTGAACACTATACAGTTGTGCCCCGCTTAATGATTACCCCGCATTACGATGAATCCGCTTCACGATGATGTTATTTTCCTCTGCATGCACAGCTCTTGGCTTTCCTACATCCTTTGAAGTGAGTATAGAACCCCTTCCTGAGTGCCAACTAGAAATGGGACTGAAACATATGAGTAGGTTTTAATCCTTCCCAGCGCAAGACCAATTCTCTATCTTGTGTGTATTTTAAAGAATTGTTCTTTAGCATAACAGGTCATTCAGGTAATGGGAAATAATGTGCAGTTACCATGGTAAGGGTGATGAATGAATTGTTACCATGGCAACCTGGAGCAGGGACTGGCTGAGCAAGTTGTTGTGTAAACTGAAAGTGGAAACACATTGACAAGTCAGGTTTCCAGGTGTGAGTTTCGATTATTCTTTCTACAAAAAATAGTTCCATATGAAAAGGTTTTGAAATACTTGCATGTATTCTTTGTGCTTCAATTCTTTTTAGCAGCTCAATCCTGTTCTCTCTCCCTTTTTTTTTAAAGAAAAGAATACGGACAACAAATGGATAGTTTTCTGTTTTCGAAAGGTGCACAATTTGTATCCATATCAACCAAATATATTCACAATGGGTTGGGACCCAATTTGAGATGTATTCCGTGGGGCTTCCCAGCCCCTTTCTTCCCAAACCAATCTCTCCAGACCCGCAAAATGCAATCCAGAGAGCTGGGAGAACCTCTTGAGTGAGGTGGGTGGTGAATATACCCTCTTCACACTTGATAAAAGCTCTTTCTACTCTGCTCGCAGAAGGTTCTCCTGCTTTATATTTCAAATATCTCATGACAATCAAAAGTGTATTCCAGCATTCCACCCATGCAACAAGGAACAGCAGCAAGTGCTGCGTTAGGTAAATTGTTGGCTTACTCCAAGACAAGAAACGTATAGTCTATTTTTAATGCAAAGCCAAACCCTCTAGACTGAGACCAAAAGTTACGGTTGTTCAATTTGTGTTATAATATTTCTTAGAACATACAGTTATTTCAGTCTAATGGTTCTAAAGTTCAAAGGCAATCACAATTAGCCAGTTTTGTAATGGAGCAGTTTATATGAGCTTTCATGCGTAGATAGTGAGTGGTGTTATTAAGTTCAAAGTCTACAGACGTTTTGTGTACATTTCAGTCATTGCCGCCCTTTCTTCCACTTGCTGATCCAGAGCACATTTAAATCCAAATATGCAATGAAAATAATGAGTTTAATGCCTGACTGTTATGATTATACATCCTCCTGGTGCAGATGTATGTACTAAAAACCTTTCAGTGATGCTACTGTGTTATAACACAGTCTGTTTAAAGTTCCTTAATTTCTAGCACTTCAAGTTTAATATAATTATTTAAAATAAAATATAATTAATATATAATTATTTTAACATGAGCTTTCATGACAAGTCCACATCTTCAGACATAGACCTGAGTCTAAAGAATGCATTTGTCCACAAAAACTTAGGTGCCACGTTTTTGTCTTAATTTTTCTTTCTTTTTTTGCCTTACATGCTAGAATAGAATAGTATAGCTACCTCTTCTAAAACCTTGAAGACAGTGAGATATAATTGTTGCTACATGCCATCAAGTCACATTTGACTTTTAACATCACTAAATGGTAAGTGAGATGTTTAAGGAGGGGTTTTACATTGCTACCTGCCAGTGAATTTCCATGTCCAAGTGAGGATTTGAATCCAGGTCTCCAGAGTTCTATTCCATCACTCTATCCACTGTACCACAGGGGCTCTCAGAGAGAGATAAAAGAATGTAAATTTCATAGAAATAATCTTAAAATCAAAGGTAAACAAAGGGATCAAGGTGTTTCTTTCTGGAAGTGCTTGCTCTGTGACAAGGCTGAAGGTGTGTAGTTAAGCTATTCCAGAGCCCATCTTTACTGAGCTTCTGTTTAGTTTTCCTTGCATCCATGATATTGATACTACCTCCCAGTATCCATGCAATGCAGGCCTGAAACTATTGTCAACAGAGTCAAAGGAGGACAAAAAGAACAACAGGTTACCCACCTGTAATTGTAGTTCTTCGAGTGGACCTCTGTGATTCACACCCTGGGTGATTTGCGCCTGCGTGGAGTTTCATCGGAAGATTCTAGAGCTTCTGCCGTAGCAATGAACACATTAGAATATGCCCCTCACCACCTGTATAAGTACCTTGGCACCAAGTGTCCCCTTTCAGTTGTGTCAAAGCCGCTTAATAGTAAGCAAACAATGGCGTAACAGAGGGGAGGACGGGCGGGATGTGTGAATCACAGAGGTCCACTTGAAGAACTACAATTACAGGTGGGAAACCTGTCATTCTTCTTCGTGGCCTCTGTGGGTGACTAATAAGCTGTCTTACCCAGAGGCAGTGTGTTACACCAAGGTAGAGGCTAGAACAGCACGTCCAAATGCCACATCAGACTTTTGCCGGAGGTCGAGTCTATAATGATGGATAAACGTGGATGGCTGGGCCCAAGTGGCAGAGGCGCAGACGTCCAGAAGAGGTAAGCCATGGAGAAAGGCTGTAGAAGCTGCTACTGCCCTGGTGGAGTGAGGACAAACCATTCTAGGGGCTGGTTGTCGAGCAAGTTGATAAGCCAAATGAATGGAGATAGATTGGGAAGTCACCTGATGTCCTTTTGTAGGTAGCTGTTGGCTTATGAAGAGGTGAGATGACTGTCTAAAAGGTAGGGTACATTGGAGATAAAAAGCAAGAGCTCTTCTGACATCCAATGTATGCCGTTCATTTTTTCTTGAAGAAGGCAACAGAAAAAATGAAGGAAGGACAATCGGCTGGGAAAGATGAAATTGAGAGACATGAATAACTTCACCTTATCTGGACAAAATTATAGATAGGGGTAGTCATAGCATAAAGCTGCCAATTCACTAGCTCGTCGAGCTGAGGTGATGGCTACGAGAAAAGCTGTTTTAAAGGTGAAGAACCTTACGTCAGTTGTAGCTAATGGCTCAAAAGGAGCTTTGGTAAGCTGTTTCAAAACAAGAGTTAGTGACTATTGTGGAGAGAGAGGTTGAGTATGGGGGTAGATATGAGAGAGACCTTTCAGAAAACGTTTCGTTGTTGGATGTTTGAAGAAGTTTGCTGCTGGAGAATTTGGAGGTTGGTATGATATTGCAGAAAGGTAGACTCTCAAGGATGAGATGGAGAGGCCCTTGGATTTGAGATGTAGGAGGAAGCGGAGAACAGTGGAAAGTGATGGATTGATGGAAGATGATGAAGAAGATTTGGTAAAGGATTGAAATTTCTTCCATTTGTACAGGTAGGCTTTCCTTGTGGATGATTTCTTGGTATGATGAAGAATGTTCATTAATGAGGGAGAATCCTCCACGCTGCCAGAGGCAGAACAGGTAAGTCCAGGTGCAGGATTTGGGAGTTGTTCTGTGTGAGAAGGTGTGGCAGACAGGGGAGATGGTGGATGTCTGATAGATAATACGGACAACTGGGAACCAAGCCTGTCTCAGCCACCAAGGGGCTATAACGATGGCATTGGTTTTGTCTTGTTGTAGACGGACAACAACTTTGAGAAGAGGGAACGGCGGAAAAAGGTAGGTAAGAGTCTTGGGCCAACGGCCGACAAACACGTCTCCCTGGGAATGTTTTCCTATTCCTGCTCAGGAGCAATACAGTTGGCATTTCCAATTCGCTTGGGAGGCAAAGAGATCGAAAGTTGGTGTGCACCATCTCCGACATACAGTAGTTGGCAGAATGCTGATTGATCTAGTTCCCACTCGTGAGCTTGGGCATGTGTACGGCTGAGCGAGTCTGCTAGGTTGTTGTCTTGATCAGTGATGTATAAGGCTGTGAGACAGATGTGATGTTGCAGACACCACTCCCAGAGGTCGATCACTAGGTAGAGGAGACCTGGGGAGTGGGTGCTGCCTTGTTTTAGGATGTAGTACATCACCGTGGTGTTGTCAGTGGTGAGCTGTACCATTTTTCTTATAAGAACGTTTCTGAAAGCCTTGCAGGCCTTTATGACAGCTAGTAGCTCCAACTCATTTATGTGGAGCAGTTTTTCTCTGTGAGACCATTTGGCATGGACTGTGAGGGATTTGCAATGAGGTGGTGTCACTGGCATCAGTAATGACTTGTATTCGTGGGCAAGGTTGTTGGAACAGTCACCTGATAGAAAGGTTGGTATGGGAATGCCACCATTGAAGTTGAGAGGCCAGTTCTGGAGTGACTATTAGGAGAGTGTGGGAAGAGTCTGTTAGTGGATTGAATAGGGCCAGAAACCAGGATTGGAGAGATCTCATTTTGAGACGTACATCCTGTACAACTGACATCATAGAGGCCATGGTGCCTAGAACTCATTGCACTATTAAGGCAGGTATCAAGGCATGTGGAGTGAAGCCGCAAAATAAGGTGAAGAGATTTTGCCTCTTTTCTGCAGGGAGGAACGCACAAGCATCTTGTGGAGTCTATGAGCACGCCTTTGTAATATATAGTCCTTGTAGGTTTTAATTTTGATTTCTGTTCGTTGATAGTTAGACCGAGATTGCGAAGAAGGGCGAGGGTGAAATGGGTGTCTCGTCAAGCTTTGCAATGGGAGTGTGCTACCATGAGCCAGTCGTTGATATATGGAAAGATGAGAATATTTTGAAGTCTGAGGTAGGTGGTTACCGGTGCCATGCACTTGGTGAATACTCTTGGAGCTGTTGCAAGGCCGAATGGGAGTCTTTTGAATTGGTATGCTTGTGATCCAAGTTGGAAATGAAGGAATTTTCTGTGTGGGGGATGTATTGCAATATAAAAGTAAGCATCTCTTAGGTCTATCACAGTGAACCAGTCTTTTTTTGAAGTAAGGGAAGAATTGATTCTAGAGTAACCATGCAGAATTTTGTGGTGACAATGTAGTTGTTTAATAATCTTAAATCTAGAATAGGACGAAGTCCCCCATCTTTCTTCAGGATGGTGATATAGCGAGAGAAAAAGCTGGTGTTCTGACAATGTAGGGGTTGTATGGCATCTTTGAGAAGTAAATTCGTTATTTCTTCTTGCAGGGGTTGTGACGGTGGAGTAATGACGTGTGTTGTCAGAGGAAGTTCGAAGAAGTGGATGTGGTAGCCATTTTTGATGATGGAGAGTACCCAGGAATCTGTGGTGATGGATTCCCATGCAGGTAAGTGTTTCCAGAGGGCAAGATTGGTGGGATGGGTGGCAATCTCGGTCAGAGGAACATCAAACATGGTGTTTGGGTTTCCAGTCATTCTGCCTAGTGGCAGGCTGTTGCCGGGTTTTGGCGCTTTGGCTTTTGAAGTATGGCAAAGGAGATTCAAGTACTTGTAAACAGATCAACACACCAATAGTGGAGAAAGGGCTCTGTTTAAGTTGGCTCTTTGGTTTCTGAAGTATGGATTGTAAGAGGTTTGTCCTGGAAGGTCTTGTTGGAACCTCTGGTACGAGTTATAAAGTCATTTCCATTGATTTTGCTGAGGATGTTGCTGGTAGGAAGGGTAAACTCCCCAACATCTGGCTGTTGAACGTTTCTTTTGTACGTTCTCTAGTATACTGTCAGTTTTAGCATGAAAAAGGCCTGCTCCATCAAAGGGGAGGTCTTCAATACATGACTGAGCATCTAAGGCTAAACCAGCCATTCTGAGCCAGGAAAAATGGTGTAGGACTACTGAAGTGGCCATGGTCTACGGTATGGCAGGCAGAAAGCATCTGTTGTTTAGCAATGGAGAGACCTTCTTGTTGGAAGATTTGAGCTAGTATCTTTTTATCCTCTGGCAGTGATTCAATAAAGGTGGACATGTTGTCCCAGAAGAAGTGTTGGTAAGCTCCCATGGCTCCTTGATAATTAGTGACTTGCATGGTGAAAGCTACGGAAGAGTAAAGCCATTGTCAGCTGTCTTTTTTTATTTGGTGGTATGAGAGACTGTTGGTGTTGAGATCTCGACTGAGGTAAGGTAAAGCTTGGTGAATGTTCCCCTTGACATTTAGTCCAGTTGCATCCGACTCTAGGGCGTGGTGCTCATCCCTGTTTCCAAGCCATAGAGCCAGCTTTTGTCCATAGACAGTTTCCGTGGTCTTGTGGCCAGCACGACTACACATGGAATACTGTTACATTCCCACCGAGGTGGTACCTATTTATCTACTCGCATTTTTACATGCTTCCAAACTGCTAGGTTGGCAGGAGCTGAGACAAGCGAAGGGAGCTCACTCAGTCGCATGGATTCGATCTTACAACTGCTGGTCTTCTGACCTTGCAGCACAGAGGCTTCTGCAGGTTAACCCGCAGTGCCACCACGTCCCCTTGACTGAGAGACTTCAGCAACTATAGAATTTGGAGCTGGTTGGTTTTTTGAGGAAAATGACTCCTGGGTCATGGATTCTATAGAGGTTATCAATCGACTTAGACATGGTATGGGAGGAAGCTTGGTTTTGTCCAGGATCTCTGCGCAGTACTAAGGAGAGATGGTAACATCGATATGAGCACCGGAGTGGTTGTATTTTTAGAGATTGCATCATTTAGATGATTGGCTGGTTCTGTCCATGATCGGTGGACTTGCAGATCAAGGGATTTAGCCATGCAAATCATAAGTTGGGCATAGGTCTGGAAATCCTCCGCTGGTGATGGCGGGTCGGTATCGACAATGTCCGATTCTAGAGAGGTAAGTAACACCAATGGAGTCTGTGGCTGAGATCCATGGGCAGAGCCATCGAGGTTGCATCTGGAGTTGACAGACTGTTGATCGACTTCAGTGTCGAGAGGCTGAGTTTTATAGTATTGCCAGTTATGAGTGGGAAAAGATGGAGGCGGCATGTCGAGGATCATCAACATGGAAAGATGGTGGTTGAGCGTTGACAGACCTCGGTTGGTAGGGATGGACCTCAGTGTTCAGCTCAGTGTCGTAATGGTGCCGGGGTTGATGACTTGGATTTACCGGAGGACGGGAACTGCGGTGGTGGAATGGAATGGAGGGAGGGTCCATGGATCAGGATGAATATCGAGGATCGTTGATATTAAAGCCTGTGTCTCTGTGAAGGTGAAATGGAGGTTGCTGATGCGATGGCATAGCAGTAGAATAAACGGATGCTGGCGATGCCGAGCATGAAGAGTGATTTCCGTCATCTATTGGAGTAGGAAAGTATCAGAAGGCTGGAGCTGCAAAAGCCTCACATGTGGATGAAATCTGCTCAACTGTCCGAGGTATTTTCAATACCAAATGGAAAGCAGGTCGAGGTATAGTCACTTCTCGGTGATGTGGCCACTTCGACACCAATGGTTGTTGAGAGGTATGCAGACTATTAGATGGTATTATCCAACCGGGTAAAACACCTGGTCGACTAGTTGGTGCAGTTTGTTGAGCAGAGCACTGGTTGCGGCAAATGGCAACCCGATGCCCATGCTGAGCATGGATTTGAACCACACGTGATGAAGCAAGCTCTTCCATTGCTTCCAGCAATCCTTCGGTTGATTTTGTATTCGCGAAGGCTTTCACGGCCAGGATCTAATGGTGGTTGTGGGTTTTTCAGGCTCTTTGGCCGTGTTCTGAAGGTTGTTCTTCCTAATGTTTCGCCAGTCTCTGTGGCCGGCATCTTCAGAGGACAGCACTCTGTGCTCTGGTGTAGTTGGCTAGGGAATGCAGTATTTACGGCTGTGAGATAGGCTTTTGTCTTTTTCTGTAGTTGGGTTGACAAAAGACAAAAGCCTATCTCACAGCCATAAATCCTGCACTCCCTAGCCAACTACACCAGAGCACAGAGTGCTGTCCTCTGAAGATGCCGGCCACAGAGACTGGCGAAACATTAGGAAGAACAACCTTCAGAACACGGCCAAAGAGCCTGAAAAACCCACAACAACCATTAGATCCTGGCCGTGAAAGCCTTCGCGAATACAAAATCAACCGAAGGATTGCTGGAAGCAATGGAAGGTTGTGGACTGGGAGGAGAGGACATTAATTGGTTGACTCTATCATCCCATTCTGGAGACTGAGAACAGGGTTGATGAGATGGAAGTCTGTCATCATCTGAGGGAGATCTGACCGAAATTGATTCAGAGAGTTGTGGTTGTGGTAGGATGTCTGTAGGCTTAGAATGCTTAGCTCATTTAGGATGAACAGGCTCCGTAGCTGGAGCAGCTTCAGTAGGTCTCTGACATTTAGAGGCTGTTTTCGAAGTCAAGAACTTCGGTATGGAGGGTTTCAATTTGTGTGTCTTTGAGATCTCAGATGATGCAGATGGAGAATTGTAATGAGCTGGTGTAGCCAATGGACATTGTTTTGATTCAGTAATGGCTTTTTCCATTGCTTTGGTTTGGGAAGTGGCCCTACAGGGAGGTTGGGCCATTTGAACTGGTTGTAAGGATGGTTGCAAAGTCGGAGTTTTGTTGTTTGTTTGGTTTGTTTGTTTGTTTGTTTATTAGATTTATGCCCGCCCATCTAGACCAATGGTCTACTAGTCTCGAGAGGCGAGATCGAAGAACTCCACACTTAAAATTTTTGCAATGGGTACAGGTGGAAGTTTGATGTTGTTCTCCCAAGCAGGAAAGGCACTCGCGTGCAGGTGCGAATCATCCAGGGTGTGATTCACAGAGGCCACAAAGAACTCACTTTTCGGGGTCTTTATACCACCACCACAGGCTACTTGGCATGCTGTCAGAACACATATTCAGAAATATACCGGTAAGGGATCTTTGAACAACGGTAATAGCACATCTTGACATAGATTGGGATGAGTATCACACTCACACAGAGATATTCACAAAGGGAATTTTATTGAACATAAAATAATTAAAATATAACAAGGGTTCACAATAAAGTACTGTATATAACTAAAAGGAGGAAATACAAACATAAACGAAGCAAACTCACATGGCTGAGAGAGTTCTGAGATTCAAGCTACATTTCAAGGTCTGCAGTACCTCAGCAGAGTATTTGCAGAGGTGCCACAAAGATATGAAGAAAGGAACTTTCCCTGAATCAGACATGCACACACACACACAAAGATTGTGCAGAAAATTCTCCCAGAAGTTAAGAGCAGGGGTGACAAAGATTACCTCTCCTTTGTCTTGGAACTGGTGAGTGTTCAAGTCCCAGTTGGAAAAATGTGAGGAATCTTGGGCAAGGATTAGGAGAAAAAACAGGCTAATAGAAGTCTTAGGTTAGAATCCCGGAATTCAGGAGTGCAACGTAGGCTAGCAGGATTCTCTGGCTGAATCCTGGATTCTAGGGAGCTGAGACAGTGATTTCAGCTAAGAAATGAAGTCAGCACAGAGGCCTGACAGGGATAAGCAGAAGCAAAGTTCAGATAGATATGCAGACACAGCAAGAAAAGGCCCCTTGGAAGACTGACCCCAGAATCTTCTCCCAGAACAATATGGGCATCTTTCCCCCTGCCCAGTTTCTAGCCAGGTTGACTAGTGATTTGGCCTCTTATTAGCCATGTGCCCTATCCTGCCCTGATCATTGCTGATCTAGTTAATCCAGGTATAGTGGGAACAGAATGGGCCATTTGACTAAACAGTAAGAAGATGGGCAGATCATTCTAAATTGTTTATGATATCTCCAGGCAATCCTTGTAGCTTAAAAACCCGGTGATCTAATCTATCTGGCTTCTCTACAGAAGGACAATCCCATGAGATGACTGGCTGGGGTATTTCTTCTATGACATTTTGATAAGAGATAATTTAGAGCTACATTCCTGCCATCTCCTGTTGGGGGCTTGACTCATTTGAGACCAGAAGCTAATTCTTCACAGTTCATTGTTTTAAATCGGTATTTGTCCTTGGCCAGACAAGTTTCCTGATTAAAACAGTCTGTGGGGTACACATACATGTCTTGCCAACAAGACTCTGCTGGGGTGTTGTACAAATCTGGCCAGTTTGGTAACATAGGTGGTGGGGCATTTTTGTTTTGCTTTGTTCCAGGTCTGATCTGCTCACACAGTTCCTAACAATGCATAGCTCTGTACTATCTATGCACTTCGTAGATGGGTGTCATTTGATGGGATTTCCTTATAGATTTTTCTGCTGCTCAGTCTCTACCCTTTGTGCACTATGGATATGAAAAACAAGGAAGTATGGAGAGTAGAGATGGGTACATACTGTGGTTCAGTAGATTGGGTCCACAGATGTTGCACATGTGCCTGGATTCTGTGCCCTGCCTCCTTCTGGGGATGCCTACTCAGAGGAGATGGCGGGGTAGAGAAGCCTGTCCATGCTACTCCTGTGAGCCTGATCTGCCAAACCACAGTAAGTGCCCATCTCTAGTAGAGTGGCTTGAGCAGGGAGAGGACTGGGATAAAAGAAGAGGGCAATCTGTGTCACGAGTGAGCAATCTGTGATGTGTGTAGCCAGGTGGCACAAGGACTACACAGTACACACAGCAATAACCACCCTCCCCATGTGTGGATACAAATACAGTGGTGCCTCGCATTGCGACGTTAATTCGTTCCGCAAAAATCGCTGCAGAACGAAAATGTCGCTATGCGATATTAAAAAGCCCATAGAAACGCCTTGAAACCCCTTCAATGCATTCCTATGGGCTTAAAACTCAGCGTTCAGCGAAGATCCTCCATAGCGCGGCCATTTTCGCTGCCTCTTAAGCGAGGAATCTGTCCCTAAATACAGCGGGCAGCCATTTTGTTTACCTGGCGGCTATTTTGAAACCGCCGATCAGCTATTTTAAAACCGTCGCTTTGCGATGCTCAGTTCCCGAAGCAGGGAACCGAGCATCGCAAAAGGAAATTCCCCCATAGGGAACATCGCAAAGCAATCGCAAAAAATGTGTCGCAAAACGATTTCATCGCTAAATGGAGCGATCGCTATGTGAGGCACCACTGTATCGGGATGCTCCATTCAAATCCACAGTAAAAGATACCAGAACAACTAAACACAGCACCATTCTGTGGACAAGCCCTCAGTATTACATTAGACCATAAGGATTGCTCCATCTGCTAGGAGCTATTTCACATATTACCCAACTGTTGGGACCATTGGTTATTGCCCTGGTCAAAAAAATCAGGGATTGCAGCAAATAGGAAAGTAAGGCACAGAGGTAGATTTAGTCCCCTTCCCATCCTATCTGATCTCATCAGGTTCCTCCATGTGTCAAGCTAAGGGCCTAAAGAGTAGAAAAAATCTGTATATTCATTAGCTGTTTTTTGTTGTTGTTGTTAGTATCCTTGAGAGTTCGGTAATTTAGTCATCCGATTTGTAAGATTAAATCTTATTTTGGATTATTCCTATGTGGTATGCAACATGGGGTAGACACACTCTGGCTCTACAGAGTTCAAAAAGAAGGCCCAAATGTACTTCTATCCTGCATAATGGAAAAAATTAGAAGTAGGTCAAAGATCAACGTATGTGCTAAGCTTTCCATCTCTTCCCAAAGAATAATTATCTGGGCCTGTTATCCTAGGTGATAACGAAATAGTTAACATGTTGTCCTGCAACAATATAACTGCTAATGTATTTTTAAAAACCCCACACATACTTGGAAATATCCATTATCAGTAACAGCCAGGAGTGAGAGGTTTATATCCACTTTACTTGTGGTTTCCAAGTTGTGCTCTGGTTCTGCACTGTGTGATAATTCATCAACCCACAAGTACTTTTTCAAAATGACAACATGATGTTCATATCCCACTTGAAGCCCCCCCCCCCGAATGCCAAAACATTATGAAAACAATACAATCATTGCTGGTACATGAATATATAATAACTTCAGAAATAAAATATAGTGGCAGAAGCAAATGGAATAGATAACTATGTAAACAGACAAACAGATATAAAATGTTAAGTTACAAACGAATTATCTGTGCTATAAATACAGTGAGTATCATTGGTATCATTTCAATCCAGATTGTTACCCAAGCAGAAAAAGTACATTAGCCAGATCCAAGCACCATAACATTTCATTTACAGAAGTAGAGGAGGACCTGAGCATGAGCTACTGATATCAGCAGGGATTCTAATGCACTGGACTTTGGCTGGATTTATATTTGTTGCTTTCGGATCAGGCAACAACTACCGCTTCCTCCTGTCTCTGTTCCTAGAATTGGCACCATTACCATTCTGGAAAAGGATACTGCTCACCCCTCACCTTTTAAATGCAAACATGCACCAATTTTTTTAAACATTCCTGTTTGAAAGTTTTATACCGGAATTATTATTATTTTTAAATCCCACAAACACAGACAAAGCATTGATTTAAAAACTTATCTCTATATATTTATTATCAATCCACAGGATAGTTTTGATTGCTACATAAAATTCATTAAAAGCTATTTCACCTTTACAAATCGTAAAAAAAAGAGAGAGAAAAGAAAATGTGCCACAAAGATGTAATAGTTGCTGACAACCAAGACACTGAATTGTAAAATTATAAATCTGCTGTAGAAAAGATAAAAAACCTGAAACAATTATATTCACTTTAGAATTTTTACTTTGAATAAAATATTCCACTGTATAAAAAATAAAAAAGCTTACTCTGGTTAGAATTAGAGTATTTTTTTTCCTTTAGGACCTGGGAATTTGCATAATATATCTGTAATAGATTTTCTTCTGTTGTACCACACAGCTTTCAAGCATAGCAGATTAGACACGTGTAAGACAAGCACTCTTCAAAACAATCTGTGAAATGTACATGGGATGATTTTTACCTCCCTGTTTAATTCACTTCTCCACAGTCCAAGGCCCCCCAGCAGCCAGAAGAGCCCTGACAAAGAACTATGCACGAAGAAGGGCTTTAAAGTGTGCCATTATTTAGAGCAAGATAATGAAAGGCCTTTTTTGCAAGTGCTTTTTTTAATAAGGTGCAAAAGCAGACAGCAAATTGCTAGTACTGCACTATGTACATATTCACAATACATTCTCGGGGAAAAAATTCAGCTAGTTCACATTTTCTCTTCCATTCCAAGGTGTTCAGTTCCATGATGGCCTTGACTGCAAGAAGTGCAGGGTCTCCACTTGGGGCCCGTTGGTCCTCTTGACAAAGCTCTAACACGCATCACTGTGGCCTTCTTTCCTTGGGCTGCAACCTTCAAACTCCCAACTTGCTTCATGTCTATATTCTGGAGTCCTGAGTTTAAAATGCTCCAGTGCTGGAGGTTGGACATAGTTATGCTTTGCATTATCAAGGCTTTTTCCTCAAATTTTATTTTTAAAATGTACATTAGAGGAGCTCCTCAAAGCCACAATGCGTGATTTGCCAAGAACAGATCAGTTCATGGCTTAGCTGCTCTTCACTCTTGACTGGGTAATATCTGATGTTTTCTTGATGACACTTGCCCGGTTCTCATGATCTGGTGGCCTGCTGCTGTAACTGGTGGAAGGCGAAGACACTATCTGTTGAAGAGGGATCTCTGCAAAAGAAGGCCATGAGCTATTGTAAGGCAGAGGGCAGCTTTCTTCTTTGATGGTGACCTGGAGGTCAGGTTTGTTAGAAGTCACAAAAGTAGCCATACCAGGAAGGGGGTAAGAGGCATTCCTTGTCCCCAGGTTGCTATAGTACTGTTTTCCGCCAATGTTTTCCTTTTGCCATTGAACATGACTCTGAAGGGAAGAGAGAGTCAGGATGATCAGTTTTGCTAAAGTTGTATGTATATGCTACAGTCACATTCCCTATGATCATGAAAATCCTCTGTTGCAAAAGAGGCAGTATAACCATGTCTACAAAATGGCTGTTGTCCTAGAAGTAAGGGTGGGAAAAAACAAAGAAAAAGGAACTTCTAAGTGCACTGTATAGGACAAGGCACTACCTGCGTATTTTGTTCCATAGACAGGGAGCTTTTCCCATATGTGTAACCTTAGCCTTTCACTTGTACTCTATTTTTCCATGTATAAGACAATACTTTTGTCTAAAATCTTTAGACTAAAAATTGATGGTCTTCTCATATATGGAAGAAAGTTGAGGAGGGAACAAAATGGCACATACCTTGCCTCTGCAAACAGGCTGCCTCCAAACGCAAGGCTTATCTTCCTCCAATCACAAGCCTTATGTAACTGATGTCAGCTGATGCTGTATAAACCAATTGGAACACACTTTGTTGGAGGTGGAGCCTGTAGGCAGTGCTCAGATTCAACAGGGTCTCGTAATGTCTGAGTGTTCTGAGCCCAGAGGCTGAATCCTCGAAGTTAAGTTTTCTTAATTTTGGGTTAGAAGGGGGGCATCATATACGCAGGGCATCTTATAGATGGAAAAATACTGTATATCTCTCCTGGGTTCCAATTTTGACTCTCGCTAGAGTGTATTAAAAGAACTGTATAGACATTTCCCCCTCCACACACACACCCTTGAATGTGGAGAAAAACAAATATGCCAAAGTATTTGTGGAACTTTGAAGACTAACACATTTTATTTCGGATATTCTTTCATGCACAGAAATAGGACAGTGCTTGTTGGCAACATTGGTACACATATCAGCTTGGGTCTTCTGCTCTCTGTATAATCAATGGTCCCACCCACAATTTCTTGCATTCAGATCTTCTGGCTTTCCCAGTTGTGCGTCATGAAATAAGGCTGGTGCACATGTCAGTGTGAAAGATAGGCCTAAAAGACATAGTCCTCTACCACACACACCATGCACTTGGTATATTTATAGAGAAATGGGAAGTCAACACAGCCTTACAGAGACAATACATTCCAAATCAAACCTTGTGGATACATATATGAATTAGAGCAGTGGTTCTCAGCTGCCGCTCTTTCAGATGTTTTTGACTTCAACTCCCAGAAAGTCAATGGCTAAGGATTCAGAGAGTTGGGAGTCCAAAACACATAGAGGATGAAAGTGTGAAAACCAACTGCATTACAGCACTGTTCAGTAATTTCGATAAAGGATTTTTGCATTCCAGTATAAACACTGAAAACTGCACTGGACAACAGAAGGCATATATCTTTAAGTCTGAGTATGTTCCAATCACGTGTCAAGCATGAGAGAGAGGGGTTAGTATCACACTGCCTGTGAACTAGACATGGAGAAGAGCAGCTGGTGGGGTGGGGAGAGGCAGGCAGACACCCCCCCATCTTATAATTTGTTCCCTCTTGCATTTTAAATAATTGCTCCGACCAAAACCCTGCTATATACATCATAACTTAAGAGTTAAAACCATGCAACTGTCTCTAGTGTGGCATAACTCTTTTGAATAAATGGGAACAGAAAATAGCTGGCTGGAATTTACAAACAAAGCACCATCTGTAGTTACAGAAAATAGCCCTGATTTAAAAATAAAAATCACCAACAAGGACTGCAGTGAAAAATCCTTTATCTCCTGAATTTTCTCTTCTCATACAACCCATGAGTAAGGCTGCACAAAAATACTTGTAATCTCACAGGTATCACATGTGTAAGAAGCTTTTCATCATGGTTAGCAGAACTTCCTGCCATTGTGTTTAACCACATATGAACTCAGGAAATCCAAAATTGTGAGTGCATGACCAAGATATGACAAAACAAACAAGATGTAACTAATACACACTTCCAGTGTAACTTTAAAAAATGCTGAGTATTTTATTGATTCATTCATGTAACCAAAATATATATTTAATTGGTTTCCCAGTAAGATTTACTATGAGTTTTCACAGGACACAGAAGTTAATAATATCATTATAATATGGACTGATTTACATTTGGACTTTGGAAGTAATAAGTTAACAGTAACTTAGTAACTTGCACTAAGTTGCTGAGGGATGGATATAAAAAGGACATGACATAATTTAGAAGAAATGTAAAATGTTGGAGCAACATTATTTTACCAGTGTAACAAGCAATGCTTTCTAGTAATTTCTAATGTTCCCCTCAAAGAGCATTTTCAGGTCTCTCAAGGATATTCTGACAGGAATTTTTTATCCTAACACTCTTCACCTACTTCCTGTCCCTTCAAGTACAAAGTAATTTTAAAACTAGTCATACAGTGAATAATATAAGTTACTTTTAGATCACTGTAATAGGTAATTATAATATAGTACTTTTTAAGCAGGATAATGAGTAGCAGGAGCAAATTAACTTTCAAAATATTCTTATCTATGTTTCACCTAAATTGCAGTAACACTATGGCCAGAATCCAGTTGTTTAGTTGAGACAGGCAAAAAAGGTGGCATTAAAATTAATTAAATAAATAGTCATGCAATCAACATCAACTTCAGCAGCAAGTTGCCTCTAAATTACAAGTTACTGTTTGTATTCCTTGCTGCATGCCAGTCACATGAGTTGGTATGCGACAAAGGATACAAGTGGCAACCCATTAATTAGTGACAAGTTGCTGTTACAATTTATGCAAATATACTTAAACCAGCATAATTAACCAATAGGCTTCTAGTCTGTGACTGCTAAAGTTATGAGGGTAAGTAAACCAAGGTGGAAAATATGTACTGCAGACTACCTTGCCCTGACCACAGGATAATCCTGGTACAGATATTTATCAATATCGGCGGCTGTTCATTGAGATAGGTGATTATCTGTACTAGGAATCCTACATGAGGAGACAGGCTTAACATCTCCTGAGTGGCACAAAAAGACCTGGGCAGCATGATGCAGGAGCTGGAGAGGATATCACCACCAAGTTTCAATAGTAGTACTTGGAGAAGCGTTTCCCTTGCATTGAACTCCTCCTGACCCTTTCACAGTGATGCAGGGACAAACTTTTAAGTTGCAGGAACTCATCTTGACAGTCCTCTGTTCAAGAAGAGTTCAAAACTGCAGCCAACATTTCTTCCCCGTTTCCCTGAAAATGAGACCTAACCTGAAAATAAGCCCTCGTTTGATTTTTCAGGATGCTCGCAATATAAGCCCTACCTGCAAAATAAGACCCAGTTAAGTGAAGCCCCGCCCTCCACCATTGTGCAGCCACCAGAAGATGAGATGACTGTATTTGAATAAATGTAGATGGTTGTACATGAAAAAAATAAAACACCCCCTGAAAATAAGCCCTAATGCACTTTTGGAGCAAAATTTAATATAAGACCCTTTCTTATTTTCGGGGAAACACGGTAGCAGTTTCTCCACCAGGATCAAATCCTTTGTAAAGCGAAAGTGCCTTAATTATCTGTTTAAAACCAAGGCACTCCAAAATACCCAGTGCAATGACAGGAATTACTGACAACAGTACAGTGTTATTTGGAAAATTTATTTCTCCTTCTAGTGAATGAAGATTGCAGCTAAGCTCAGAAGGATCAGTGGAAACTGAAGAAGGTAGCAGATAATACAATCACTGCCTGCTAATCAAAATGTCTCAGTATATCAACACTTTAAGCCTTTCTTATTGTTGTTGTTTCGGCTTATACATCACTCCATAGCACTAAAACACTCTCTGGGCAGCTTACAACATTAATTATGCAAACAAGACTTTGTCCCCCAGCAAACTGGGCATCCTAGTACTGCACTGCGCTTCCAGCAACTCTAGACAGCTCTGCTGCTGATCTGCCACACCAACCAACCTGGGACAGAAGTACCTTGGCTGACTTGAGAGCAAGTCTAGCATTGCTAGGGTGTTGTGCTTATTATTTAAAAACTACTCCCATGTGAACGGAGCTCCAGAAGAGTTGCAGAATATCTCGATTCCACTTCTCTAATGGAAAAGTAGCTGCTGCTAAAACTAGAACAATGTTCCTGTGGACAGTTCTGTGTACAAGTGATATCTCAGAAATGAAACATGAATGAGCCTTGTCATAGGCCTATTTTTAGCATTGCTTTCTTGGTTGAGCATCATTCAGCTGAAACAAAACTGTTACAACCGTTGGCTGAAAGTCACTATTTACTTCTTTACATACTACACATACAGGTCAGCCAAGACTGCAAATGTCTGACCAACCTTATAACATTTTTTTCAGTGGTCGTGCTGTGAAACAGATATTTTGGGATAGAAATCTTAGTATTTTTGAGTAATTTAACCTGCCCTGACCTCTTGCTGTTTCCTTGTATAATGTGAGCACTGCAGATAATGTGACACACTTTGCCCCCACTTCTGAAGGTCACGTGTAGGGTCAAGGCTGTGGCTGCGGCTGCAATGCCTCTCACCCCAGATGGAGGGGGAAAAGAAAATGGGGAAAAAGGCGGGCAATTGCTGCTTTTGAAAACCCCTGGGAGCATGGACTTTTCCTATCAAACAAGGTACAGCCTTTAAATTTTTTTTTTAAACATCCAGTCTGTAGTAGTGTGAGATGAAGGTGGATGGATTGGACCATGTGGCCACCAGACAGATGATGGAAATGTGCATGTCACGCTGAAATGCGGTGGAGGTAGCCATGGCACAAGCCATAGCTCTTGTGGAGCGGGCCTTAATGGTGTCAGGAGGCTCTTTCCCTGTGAGCTCATAAGCCAGGGAAATGGGTTGAACTATCTATTGAGACAAGGTCTGCGATGATGCTGGAGAGCCTTTATGAGGTCCATGAAAACAAATGAAGAGCTGAGGAGATGCCCTGAAAGTTTTTGTTCTGTCTATGTAGAATGCAAGCGCACGACGAACGTCTAAAGTGTGGAGCATGCGCTCAAGATCATAAGTTGGTGAAGGAAAGAGAGACAGTAAGATGACAGGTTGATTCAAATGAAAATCAGATACTACTTTAGGGAAGAATGAGACATCTGGATAAAGTGTGTCTTTGTTAGGATGGAATTGTATGTATGGAGAGCCAGATCTGAGAGCAGAAAGCTCACTTGCTCGATGAGCTGAGGTGATGCCTACCAAGAAAAGAGTCTTCAATGAAAGAAAGTTTGAAGTTAGTGGAAGTCATGGGTTCAAATGGTGGTTTGGTGAGAGCATTCAGAACAGTTTGGAGACCACTGAGAAAGTGGAGGTCACTGTGGAGGGCAAATATTGTGAAGTCCTTTTAAAAATCTTTTCAAGGTTGGATGAGAGAAAGATTTTGCTGATTCCGCATCTGGTAGTTGATGAGCTATAATTGCAGTGATATTGAGAGTGGCTTGAGAAAGTACCAGGTTGAAAAGG